AGGTGTTGATTTGGATGATGATACACAAGATTTAGATGATATCCACATTTTTTACAATATTTCATCTAACTCGACAAGTGGTTAAAAGAAAACTAGTCGTGCACCAACAATTTCTTTTGGATATTCCTCATAAAACTTATAAATAAATAAAAGTGTAAGGATCTTGCGCAGATTCAATTGCTAATGGTTTTATCATTTGAACCTTGTGTATCAAAGAACCTTGATCCAACATTACTTGGGTATATGCTGACGTACATGCAATACGGATCTTAGTGAAGAGGAACAGATGAATGCATATGCCTGGTTGACAGAAAATGACAGAAAAGCTCTCATGTTGAAGACACTCCCAATTGAATTGAGTAATAAAAAAATATCATGCTAGTGATGTTTACTACAAGTGGATATAGAACATGTTTTCCATTATGATAGCACTTGGCACTCTTATTTTTTTTTATTTATAAAAAGTAAAAAATAAAAATAACCATAAGTTGGAATAATTGTTTTAAAGTGATTTAAATTGCTATTATGCCTTTTCTTTAATACATGTAAAAACTTTATTTGGTGCAAATATGTTTATTAGGCAATGTTATTGTTTACTTAGAAGAAGAACTTGTATGTAGTTCATTTGTGTTACTCCACAACTTCATTTTAATATAATATGTATGGGTTAGTTTCAAAATTTCATATAAATGATCTCCAAACAATGGAATTGGCACATTAATTTGTTATGTGTTTTGGTACAAGAGTCATGGGTATGATGATTCAAAGTGTCACGGTACATTTTATGAGTAAGTAGAACTAGGCTCAAAGTGCCTCGAGGAATAGGTAAGTCCTAATGAACACTTTGTTTAGATTCATGTGGCTCTTAGATTGCTTAGTTGGCTCTTAAGATGCCTTATATGCTCTTGTAATGGCTTAAAATGGTTTGACTGCTAAAGTGTTTATATTCCGACTATTTTTTATATTAGGCTTTCAATGAACTTGGTTTTGCTTAAAAAAATTTGGGTATCAACATCTTAAGAAATTTGCAATTCCTTCATCTAAATGTAAGGTTAAGTATACACGATGAGAAAGTGAATTACTACAGACTTCTTCTTTAACTAAAAATATTATTGAGCTTTCTTTTCTCCATTAGTAATAGTAATTATAGAATATAAAATGAAAAATACTTGCCTCCTTTCTTGAAAGTAGGAACTACTAATTTTCTATTATTGATGAATTTTGTGTGTTGAGATTCTTCTTTGATTTGCAGGAAGTAGGAATGCCCCTTTTCAGATAAGGATGGAAGCAGTTTCCACATAAAATTATGACTCTGAAGAAAACCCATGATCTTGTGGAAGAAAATCCAATTTCTAACCATCATACAATTCTTGACAGAAAGAAATGACTCTAAATATGAATATATAAATAAATAAAACTATTTACAAATTTCTCAAACATAGAATAATGACGTAATTTATGAAGGGGAAAAAAACGAAATTATCTACACCAGTGTTCAGTTTGGCACAAACAAATGCACGTGTATAAATATTGCAAAAAAGAAATGCTATTGGTAGTCTCTCCAAGGCCAAAATAGTAGTTTAATTTGTTTTTAGCGTGTGTGGGGTAGGTATAGGCTGTAGTCGTGTTAAGATTAAATGGTTCACTTAATCATTGTCTCCACCTCATGAAGGAAGAAAAACCAAAGCTTTATCATCCTTATTGTGAGGTGGATAATTAGGTTGGTTAGCTCACATATTTCTTGATGACATATCCATCCTTCAAAATATATTTAATTATTACATTAAATAATAAGGACGGCCCTTTAATTTGTTACTGGATATATTATAATAGTGAAGAAAATATGTCAACCAATAATTAAGATTATAACTGAGAGTAGGGAGAGCATGAGTTGAAAAGAAGCAATACTTCATGGAAATTTGAGAGAGAAAGAGAGAGTGTACAAAAGCAATTTGGTTGGATTCTAGGTTTTGAGCACTTGTATTTGTTAGATTAGTTTTTATTTTTATTTTTTTTTACAAGCGATATCAAAAAGGGGGATTTGAACAAGAGACACTGCTCTTAACGATTTGAACTACAAAGTTTTTACGTTGTATGTTTTAGGTTAGTACCAAGAAATAAAGCTTGTATCTTCTGTGTTAATATTGTGGTTATGCTCAAAATTAATTGTGACAAATAAAAACCTAAAAACATGTAATTATGAATCATCAAAGGAAATATTATAAGTTTTAAAACCCATGTGAGATTCCACCCATTCGAATAATATAAATATTTTATATTGATGAGAAGTCCCAGTATTGTACGCAAAAAAACTACTTGGTGAATACCATCCGGTTCTTCAAACATCGCCTAAACATGAAGATTTTGCGTTGCTTTTGTGTCAAGCATGGAGTCTCTAAGTTTGACCATATCTTAAAAAGTATGAAAAGCAATCAGTATTGATTAGGACAAACCGCACTACCATTGTGTTTTCTTTAATTTATTTATCTATTTTTCAAATTTTAAATTTCCAACACTTCCATTTCAAAAGTAAAAAAAAATTACACATGTAATCTCTCATACAGATTAATCAGGGGATGCTGTCATAGACTTATCCAAGCACGTTTTATTTTGAAAGTAAAAAGTTATTTATGGTTCCTATAGTTTGTTTCTTTTTCACTTTTGGTCAATGTAGTTTCAATTTGGTCACTTTTACCATTGTAGTTTTATGATTGTAGCAATTTAAGGACAATCAAGGAATCCCGTCAATTTTATTCACGTCGTTAAATGAACGAAAAATGAAAAAGAGATAAATTACAAGGATCAAAAGTGACTTTTAGCCTTATTGCCCAGAAAATGCGATTTTGATGGCACACCCAAAAGGGAAACGTTTTGAGTATAAGTAGTGTATGTGCCTCACAAGTCACAACCACAAATAATAATGATTAATAATTAAGACCAAGCATGACAAGAGAACTTGGATTTGAGATTACTTTCTAGTGCGCCTTTCTTAGGTACAACTTACAAGCAAAGGTCTTCTCTTAAGGAAGAAAAAGAAAAAAACAATTTCACTCCTCAACTTTCTCTTTAGAGTGCTTTCTTCTTTTCAAAGTAGTGACGTTGTTTGGTGTTTGTTGAGTTCTGATATCGCACTAATTTTACACGTTGAATTTTCTTTCTCTTTATGGCTTATAGTGAGATGGGTTTAATTGTATTTTTTGGCTCATTGTTTATGGCCTTAGTGTTTATGGTTGAGTTTCATAGATTTGGTTGGACTTGGATCCCTCCATGTTTAGGGAATGTTTTATGGATTTCAATTCTGTGTAATTGAACATGGTTATCAATGAAAATTCCCTTATCCGTAGCCCAAATAAAAAACAAAAACTCTCTCTCTCTCTCTCTCTCTCTCTCTCTCTCTCTCTCTCTCTCATTTAAACCCTTCTTAAAATTTCAATTTAAAGAACAGTCTTGAAATTCAAATTTCAACATTTGCTTACCAAATTCGTTCATGAAGTGATGTGTTAGTATTTGTGTAAATGAAAAATTCTACCATACATTGTATTGCATACAACCAATCTTTCAACTGTTGGATGTGACTGGTACACCCTTCCTATAAAATAATAGTCACTGTTGGATATGTGATGTATCTCATACAACAATATGTAGTAGAAATACTCTTCTATCAATAAGTTACTTGTTAAAAAGAAATGAAATTCACAGTGGATTTAGTCACGTCATTTAGGAGGGAGTCTAGTTGGATTAAATTCTCATCTTCATACCAAATTACATTATCAATTCATTATGATCGATATTCAATTTTGTTGACACAAATGCGCACTCTTAAAAATTTTGAATGCGCTAAAGAATACGATAAGCTAATGTTGAAGTGGAAATAACTATTTCCTTTTGTAATGCTAATTAATAATTCTTGCCATTATTTTTGTCTTTTTCAATCAATAGGTAAGATTTGTACTAGACTTTGCAAGACCTATGGTGTAGCAGATGAAGCATATAGGCATATTAAGTGGCTGAGCGACAGTCCTAGCTCTCATAGAATGCAACTGTCCTAGCTCCATATATGGTGCAGGGTCAATGATGATGATTGATAACATAATATACAAGATCCTACGGTCAGAAAAAACTATAACAATGAATGAGAACATTGAATTTCTGCACCATCCCCCTCCCCCACCCACCCCCACACCCACCCCCCCTCCCCCCAAAAAAAAAAAAAAAAAAAAAAAGAGAAAAAAAGAAATAAACTCTTTTCCTCGTTCAAAATCTCATCAATCAGCATCTCTCATTTTCTTTCATCGACCGTGTCAACCATCAATCGTTGCCAAATTGCCAATGCCATACACAACGGCACCACCAAAATGCCCCTGCTGCTTCCCTGGAATTCAAACTCTCGAAATGACCAAAAAACCCCTGCGTATTGTCACTGTCTTAACGCCCTCATATGTGCAGGGTTCACCGCCCCCACAGCCCCAGGCCACTGGCCCACCATCCCCAGTCCTCCCTCGTGTCAAACACTTATTAATTTTCACCAATTGCCATCAGTCCAACTTAGTGCCTCCCACTCTCCCCCTCCCTCCCTCTCTCCTCCAACACAAACACAGAATTGAAATACAGTTCCTCAGCTTTCTCTCTCTATTTTTTATATAATTTTTTTTGTATACATTTCTAATCTGCGCTTCCATAACAGAATATAACAGGATTCAATAACACCAACATCTCCCTCTTTTTCTTTCTTATATTTTGTTCCTAAACTGTACCCTTTTATAACATAAGAAAATAATCACACCTCCAAGGTACCATTTGGTACCAATCTCTCTTCCTCTCTCTGTGTCCATCTTTCCTCTCCATAGTCTCCAAAACCCAAAATCCCAAACCTTCTTCATCCAAAATCAACAAAAGGGCAAACAAAGTTTCTATTTTTTCCACAACCCAAAATCCCAAACTTCAAAATTAACGAAAGGGTACAAACTATTCTTGTAATTTTTACTAATTTTCCACTCTAGATGGGTGCTGCTGCTAAGACTGTTTGGGCTCTGATATTCATAACCGTGCTAAACGTCGCCGTTTTCCGGCCCACCTCATCAGATCCAAGCGACGAGGCTTGCCTGACCCACCTAAGCCAATCCATACAAGACGCAACAAAGTCCCTCCAGAACTGGACCAAATCCACCTTCGCAAACCCATGTAGCGGCTTCACCTCCTACCTCCAAGGCGCCACCTGCAACAATGGCAGAATCTACAAGCTCTCCCTCACGAACCTCGCTCTGCGCGGCTCAATCTCGCCGTTTTTGGCCAACTGCACCAACCTCCAAGCCCTCGACCTCTCCTCCAACTTCCTCACCGGCCCAATCCCATCGGACCTCCAGTACTTGGTCAACCTCGCCGTCCTGAACCTCTCCTCCAATCGGTTGCAGGGCCCAATCCCGCCGCAGCTCACATTGTGCGCCTACCTCAACGTCATCGATCTCCACGACAACTTACTCACCGGAACGATCCCTCAGCAATTGGGCCTTCTTGTCCGGCTTTCGGCTTTCGACGTCTCAAACAACAAGCTTTCGGGGCCGATACCGGTTTCTTTGGGAAATCGGAGTGGGAATTTGCCGAGGTTTAATGCCACGTCGTTCGATGGCAACAAGGAGCTTTATGGGTACCCTTTGGCCCCTCTGAAAAGCAAAGGGCTTTCGGTTTTGGCCATTGTTGGGATCGGATTGGGAAGTGGGTTTGCGAGTTTGGTGCTTAGTTTCACTGGTGTGTGCATATGGTTGAAAATTACAGAGCGCAAGATGGCTCTTGAAGAAGGCAAGGTCAGCCACCTCATGCCTGATTATTGAGAGACAAGAGCCTAATCTAATCCCCCAATTATAAGCTTGAGCTAAAATTTCAGGTATTTTTGGAATTTTTATTATTGAGAGCTTGAGATTTCAGTCCAGGGTGGGCAGTATTGTGCTTTTGGAATTTTTGGCTGTCTTTTACTGATGAGGGAATTTTTGTTTCTTATTTTCTTTTTTGGGTTTAATTTGGTTTTTCTCTTAACCATTTTGGGGGTCTTTTCTTTCTTTTTTATGCTTTTGATTCTCTCTATAACTTTCTCATCAATCCAACAATGTATAAAAACCCAATTCAACTAAAACACCATGTTTCAGTTTCAGTCAATCAAATAGTGCAGCGGCAGCCTCTATTATTTTTCTTCCCTTTCAAGTCTCAATGATGTATAATTGTAACTGATATATAATGCATTTTTCTTTTATCTGTGTTGCTTGCAATCCCCAATCTCTCTCTCTCTCTCTCTCTCTCTCTCTCTCTCTCCTGTGTGGGTGTGTGGGGCAGTAAGTAGGGCAGGTTGAGAAATTGGAATTGTGTGTTGGGTCAAGAGCTGCACCGTGCAATTTTGTCTGGCAGTGAGCTAAAATATACTAAATCATCATCTGGTGAGAGAGCTTTTATAAATAAATCTAATGGATTTTCACTTGCTCTTGGAGCTTCTTGTGCTTGGCTATTGTGAGCTGGAAGGAGACCAACAGAACCACATGGTATGGAAATTGTCGACCTCTGCGCCTCTCAAGGCTTTAAATATGGTGAGGATTTGCTCTGCCTAGCCCAACATTCTGTGCAACCCTTGCTCCTTATTCTACTTGGGGTTTGAGTTTTATGTTTGCTTTCTCTGCTACTCTGCCATTACTGTACAAGTTTACAAAAGCATTAAAAAAAAATTTGGGAGTTTAATTAAGGATTAAACAAATAAAAAACTGGCGAAGCAATAAACTTGTAACTTAAATAGTTAAGAGTATTTATTCATGCATTTGAAGGCTTCAATTCGATTCCCCCCTCTCTCAAATTGCTTATATAAAATAATACTAAAAGACTTGGCCAGAAATTTTAACAATAATTCACTGTGCCATGCCAAGCTTTTAGCAATATTTTTCCCACCTTGTATTGTATTGATGATTAGATAACATGTAATATGTGTGGTTCCCATTATTGTGGTTTGTGGGTTATATGATGTAAGCTCCAGCCCTTTTCGTCCCTACCCTGTCAATTTTTATTTTTTATCTTTGTGTGGATATTTTTATTTGTTTTGGTAAACGTGGGTCAAGGCTCCTTCCTAGCTTTGTTTTTTTAAACCCTCTAGGATTTAACTTTGCTTTCCTTGGTTTAAACTTCTAGTTAGTGACATTAAGATACTCTTAGATTTGTTTTTTTATCGATGCTTTGCATGTGTCTGTGTGCAAAGCCCCTAGATTCTTTACAAACCATGAATTTTTTTTCATGGGTTAGTTAGTGATAACGTGAACCTAATCTTAAGCAATAAATAGGATACAATTTGAAAGGAAAAAAAATAAGAAGAGCGAAACAAACTCCACGTCCAATTGTAGCCTGCATTATGCATCAGTTATCACTTATCAAAATTCCTACAAGAGGGTTAACGGGAAAATAGTCTTTACTTGTAGACTTATAGTACTTTGATAGCGTGTGTGAGAAAGCTCCACCTCTTTTTAACTTTGACAAAAAAAGCAAAAACAAAAACCAATACCTACAAGAATTAAGAAAGGGAAATGTACATAAAGTTAAAGCAATACAATATTGAAAAGAGCTATTTCTTTTGACCAATTTAGACGTATGAAATTGTGAATGGCAGGAAATGCGAAATATTTTTCAAATTAAAAACCCTGTTCCAATAACACGGGAAATAGAAAAAAACAACGTATAAAACTTGATTAGCTCAACCGAATTAGACAAAGATCCGAGACACAAATGATGGAATTTTGTCACCAAGGATCAGCAAAATGTATGTCATATTCATCAACACTAGGCCCTAGACTTGTCTGTGTCTAATCAACACTATACCTGATCCAACGGCTGTGATATCAAATTTCAATTTCCCCTTTATTTTCAATTTCAACTCACACCGAAAGCAAAGATGGTCAAATGAGCTTTCATTCCTCTCATTAATGGGGTCCCTCCGAGAATGGCATGCATTTCATCATGGGATTGGGGCCCATGCCCCCCCTTCCTCCCTCATCTCCCTCCCAATTCATGCTGTGTAATTGAGTAATTTTCTGAACCCAACTTGATAAATTGTCGTTACTTATAAAACTGCTGAGTGGCTCTGTCCTCCGCAGTTGGTCCAGTGACTCACAAGAAGCTGTTCTTTTTTCCCTTCAATAATCAAATATTACTGCTGCAACTTCAAGCTCTCTGCTTTGGTGGTGACAAGCAGGACTGGTGGCTTGCCTTGGACCACAATTTATATGAATTAACTGAAAAGGGATGTTAATTATGTATAGTATATGTAGATACATACAAATTATACAAAATATGATTTGGCAGTGTAACTTCAATACTTCAACGCACTAGTGTACTAGGCATTTTATTGTTTGTATGGATTTTAAGAGCGAACAACGGATTTTATAGTTTAGGGTATATATATAGTATTGATAAATACAACATGATTTGAATGTTATAGTACGTGGTCGTGTTTCAGTATAACACAATAATTTTCTAATTTAATGTAACATCTAAGTAATACGTGAAGCTTTCGACATATTTTGTAAGAGAAATTATTGTATGATATTGGAGTACGATTACGTGATATAACCCATCAATCTGTTTTAATATTAATGAATAACATGTAGTATCAATGAGTTACATCACATCTCCATACTCCACTAAAGCAAATTGTAATGTTATTATAGTGACCAAATCGTATGGTATGAATAGATTTTCCTTGTGGAATCATGCTTTGACGGGTTAGTTTAATCTTTAAAATGTGGGCCTGGGTGTGAAGAGCAATTCGTTGTGGTGATGTACAAGTTAAAACCCTAATAATAAAATGGGCCAAAAACAATAGCACTTCAAAGTTCTGATTCTGAAAGCTCAATTTTCGTCCTCAGAAATTGGTCCAGTCGACCTATATTCTCCCAAGCCCAACTCTCAATATCAACTCAACTTTAAAAGCAGAAAACAAAACCGTTCGCCTTTTTTGGTTCGCACCAAAAATCAAAACCCTAAACCCTTTGTAGCTTTGAGCTCCAAGTTCGGAAGCTACGGACTCTCCCATGGCTGAAACTACGGAGAAGCCACCCAAGGATATTGAAAGCGAAGACGATGAGGAGCAGACGTTCGAAGGCCTCGGATTAGACGGTCGTCTTATTCGTGCCCTAAACAAGAAGAAAATTGACAAGCCCACCCCCATTCAGCAAGTCGCCATACCTCTCATCCTTGTTAGTTTTCTTTTCCGAAATTAATCTACTTTTATTACCTGTTTGGCTTCCCAGAAAATGCAGGAAATGAAAAGAAAATTTAATGTTGAAAACTGTGTTAATTGATTGTTTTCTTGCATTTGGGAATGCGTTTCAGCAAGGTAAGGATGTGGGGGCCAGGGCAAAGACTGGGTCTGGAAAGACCTTTGCTTATCTCCTGCCGTTGCTTCAGAAGTTGTTTACTTTAGAACCAAAGAAGAAACTTGCTCCGAGTGCGATTGTTCTCGTCCCTACTCGAGAACTTTCTCAGCAGGTTTGTACATTTTGTAACTGTTCCCGGTTCGAATTCTCTTTGCCGTTTTAGATTTCTTGCTAAGTTTGGTTATTGAATGTGAATGGTTGTGGTACATATGCAGGTTTATACAGAGGTCTCTTCATTGATTGAATTGTGTAGAGTTCCATTGAAAGTTGTGCAGTTGACAAGCAGCATGCCTGCACCTGATTGGGTTTGTTCAGCTCCCTTTTCCAATTATATGAAATGTAAATGTGCACAAGCACGCACATGCAAGTGGAGATTTTATATTTTTGCTGACTCTTTCTTATCCACAATATTGCTTGCAGCGCACAGCTTTGGCGGCGCTACCTGAGATTCTGGTTACCACTCCAGCTTGCGTAAAGAAATGTTTGTCAGATGGTGTTCTTCAGCCAACATCCATTGATGAGTCACTAGAAATTCTTGTTCTTGATGAGGTGAGAGAACATTTAGTTGCAAACAGACGCACAAACATATTTGTCAGTTTTGGTCGAGTCTGATAGAATGTGTATTCATCGCTTGCATTCCTATTAATTTTGTTCACCTTAAAAGACTTTTTGCTCCTCAACTAATTTTGTTATTCATACATTACATTTTCACGTGGTTTTTGAATTCATAGATGCTTTGAATTTAAGACTAATATATGGTTGTTAGCCCTTATTACGAAACTAAAATAGATGTTAGGCAATGTATTCTTTTAGGATATTTTCTTTTTTCCCATTGTCAAAATTTGAAGAATAATTGTTGGAATTATCCCATTGACAGATCATTGAACTATATTTTCTTTCAGGCAGATCTTCTGTTGTCATATGGATATGAGGGAGATATAAAAGCATTAACACCTCACATCCCTAAACGTTGTCAATGTCTTCTTATGTCTGCCACCTCAAGGTTTGTTATTTACACAATATATGCACCATTTTTACTTTCTGCAGATTAGGAGTAATGATGTTAATGATTGATGTGTTTTGTGAAATTGTGTATCTGTTTATGGCTCAAGAGTTGATTTTTTTCCTTCATTTTTCCACTCTATGGTTTCACTTTGTAACATGCTATTGACACCTAGCATTTTATAATACTTGGCAGTGATGATGTTGAGAAACTGAAGAAGCTGATTCTACATAATTCTTACATTTTGACTTTACCGGAAGTGGGAGATATCAAGGACGAGGTCATCCCAAAAAATGTTCAGCAGTTTTGGGTAAGAATTTTGAAGCCTTTAACAGGAAATCAATTATCCACAACATTCAGTTGTTTCAACATCTTTTCCAAAAGTGTTGTACAATTTATAACACAGTCCACATGAATTAGAAGGAAC